CATCATACCTGTCACTACACACCTGTCACCATCACGTTTTCACCAACACTTGTCACATCACACCGTCCAACATACACCTGACACCATCATACCTTTCACTTGACACCTGCACCATCCCCCCGCCGAAAACACACATTCACCATTACAAAAACCCGTCAACATCACACCTCACCATCACACCTTTCACTGTCACACCTTCACTTCACACCGTCACCACACGCATTTCCCCCATCCACTTGTCACCATCACACCTCACCATCACACCTGCACCATCAACCGTCCCATCACGCCTGTCACCATCACGACTTTTACCCATCACGCCTGTCACCATCACGCCCTGTTACCATCATAAACCCGTCACAATGACACCTGTCCACCACACACCTTTACCCTCACAACTGTCACCACACGCCTTTCACCACCGCCTGTCACCATCAACCTGTCACCATGACACCTGTCCCATCACACCTTCACCATCACATCGCACCATCACGCCTGTCCCACACGCCTGTCCCCCATCATACCTGTCATAGACACCCGTCTCCCCACACCTGCACCATCCAAAAGTCACCACACCCTGTCACCACACCCTGTCACCAAACACACCTGTCACCAAAACACCCTGTCCCATCACACCTGTCCCCCATCATGCCTGTCACCCTACATCTGTCACCATCACGCCGTCCCATCACAATTGTCACCATCACACCTGTCACCATCACGCCTGTCACCACAACTGTCACCATCACGCCTGTCACCATCACAACTGTCACCATCACACCTGTCACCATCACGCCTGTCACCATCACACCTGTTACCATCACGCCTGTCACCATCACATCTGTCACCATCACGCCTGTCACCATCACATCTGTCACGATCACGCTAGTGTATGCAATAATTTCGCAAAAAAATAATTCTGAACATAACGAAAAAAATATATTTAGTTGGATTGAGCTAAATTAAATTGCGCTTGTTATAATAAGGTTAGGTAAGTTTTCTAAAGTTCTTTTGGTACAAAATTACTGATTTTTACATTAATATAAATGAAAAAATATATATCTTTAAACGTATAAGAAATTTTTTTTAGTAAGAAATTGATTTTAAATGAGTTCTTGGTAAATGACCAATTTTACCTATTCGGCACGACATAAACATCATGTATATGGAGTAAGTTGCTCTTGAACCTTTTTTTATTAATATTGGTGTGTGAATGGTTGAAGACCCAGCACACCATCCAGGGTGATGTTTGAGTGGTTGAAGACCCAGCACACCATCCAGGGTGGTGTTTGAGTGGTTGAAGACCCAGCACACCATCCAGGGTGTGGTTGAGTGGTTGAAGGGCCCAGCACACCATCCAGGGGGGTGTTTGAGTGGTTGAAGACCCAGCACACCATCCAGGGTGGTGTGTGAATGGTTGAAGACCCAGCACACCATCCAGGGTGGTGTTTGAGTGGTTGAAGACCCAGCACACCATCCAGGGTGGTGTTTGAGTGGTTGAAGACCCAGCACACCATCCAGGGTGGTGTTTGAGTGGTTGAAGACCCAGCACACCATCCAGGGTGGTGTTTGAGAGGTTGAAGACCCAGCACACCATCCAGGGTGGTGTTTGAGTGGTTGAAGACCCAGCACACCATCCAGGGTGGTGTTTGTGTGGTTGAAGACCCAGCACACCATCCAGGGTGGTGTTTGTGTGGTTGAAGACCCAGCACACCATCCAGGGTGGTGTGTGTGTGTGGTTGAAGACCCAGCACACCATCCAGGGTGGTGTTTGAGTGGTTGAAGACCCAGCACACCATCCAGGGTGGTGTTTGAGTGGTTGAAGACCCAGCACACCATCCAAGGTGATGTTTGAGTGGTTGAAGACCCAGCACACCATCCAGGGTGGTGTTTGAGTGGTTGAAGACCCAGCACACCATCCAGGGTGGTGTTTGAGTGGTTGAAGACCCAGCACACCATCCAGGGTGGTGGTTGAAGACCCAGCACACCATCCACTGTGGTGTTTGTGTGGTTGAAGACCCAGCACACCATCCAGGGTGGTGTTTGTGTGGTTGAAGACCCAGCACACCATCCAGGGTGGTGTTTGTGTGGTTGAAGACCCAGCCCACCATCCAGGGTGGTGTTTGTGTGGTTGAAGACCCAGCCCACCATCCACTGTGGTGTTTGTGTGGTTGTAGACCCAGCCCACCATCCAGGGTGGTGTTTGTGTGGTTGAAGACCCAGCCCATCATCCACTGTGGTGTTTGTGTGGTTGAAGACCCAGCACACCATCCAGGGTGGTGTTTGTGTGGTTGAAGACCCAGCACACCATCCAGGGTGGTGTTGAGTGGGTTTAAGACCACACAACCATCCACTGTGGGTTTATGTGGTTGAAGACCCAGCACACCATCCAGGGTGGCGTTTGTGTGGTTGAAGACCCAGCCCACCATCCAGGGTGGTGTTTGTGTGGTTGAAGACCCAGCACACCATCCACTGTGGTGTTTGTGGGTTGAAGACCCAGCCAACACCATCCACTGTGGTGTTTGTGTGGTTGAAGACCCAGCACACCACCAGGGTGGTGTTTGTGTGGTTTGAAGACCCAGCCCACCATCCAGGGTGGTGTTTGTGTGGTTGAAGACCCAGCACACCATCCAGGGTGGTGTTTGTGTGGTTGAAGACCCAGCACACCATCCAGGGTGGTGTTTGTGTGGTTGAAGACCCAGCCCACCATCCAGGGTGGTGTTTGAGTGGGGTTTAAGACCCGCACACCATCCAGGGTGGTGTTTGAGTGGTTGAAGACCCCGCACCAAACCCTCCGGGTGGTGTTTGAGTGGTTGAAGACCCAGCACACCATCCAGGGTGGTGTTTGAGTGGTTGAAGACCCAGCACACCATCCAGGGTGGTGTTTGAGTGGTTGAAGACCCAGCACCATCCAGGGTGGTGTTTGAGCGGTTGAAGACCCAGCACACCATCCAGGGTGGTGTTTGATGGTTGAAGACCCAGCCCCAAACCCTCCAGGGTGGTGGTTGAAGACCAGGCACACCCTCCAGGGTTGTGTTTGAGCGGGTGAAGACCCAGCACACCATTTCCCGGGTGGTGTTTGAGTGGTTGAAAGACCCAGCACACCATCCAGGGTGGTGTTTGTGTGGTTGAAGACCCAGCACACCATCCAGAGTGATGTTTGAGAGGTTGAAGACAGAGCACACCATCCAGGGTGGTGTTTGAGTGGTTGAAGACCCAGCACACCATCCAGGGTGGTGTTTGAGCGGTTGAAGACCCAGCACACCATCCAGGGTGGTGTTTGAGTGGTTGGAGACCCAGCACACCATCCAGGGTGGTGTTTGAGTGGTTGAAGACCCAGCACACCATCCAGTGTGGTGTTTGAGTGGTTGAAGATCCAGCACACCATCCAGGGTGGTGTTTGAGTGGTTGAAGACCCAGCCCACCTTCCAGGGTATTGTTTGAGTGGTTGAAGACTGTGGCATGCAAAGAGTACGTAACCTTTATTCGGCGCATGTACACACCCTCATTTACAGGCTATCTCCCCCAACCAGCGAACCAGGTTGCTAAGAGTTGATGATGGGGCCCCGTCGTTCAACTAGTGACCAGGTTCTAGCCAATAAGAAGATGGTTTTGGCAATCTCAGAGGTTATGTGGGTACCGCTCTCCTGTCTGCCCTTGTCATTCCCATTCTAGAGCTGGTTGAAACACGGTCTGCTATCTTATGGCTTCTATTTCTCCCTTGCTTACCGTGGAGTGCACTATACTTATCACTGTACATATTGCTGTTCTAAATTGGTGAAGGATAATATAAGTCTAAACTTTTTCTGCTGTGTTTATTTTGCTCCCAAATTTCACCCGGGATAACAGGCCATTTGGAATCCTGGGTTGTAATATGGGTAGCCTGTCCGAGAGCTGTAGCTGGACTTAGAGAAACGGTTGAGCTTAGGGTGAAGCTCGTAATAGGAACATTGTGCAGCTTGCTGTCTGGCATTGCTTTACAAATTTTGCGTGTCAGTTGCTTTATGGTCAGCCTTGCTATTGTGTGATCGTTCAACAGCTCGCTACTAGCTTGTTTGGTGTGCTCGCTTCGCTACGGTCAATCTTCTAGAACAGTGTAGCTGTCTGGCATTGCTTTACAAATTTTGCGTGTCAGTTGTTACTAGCCTGTTCGGTGTGGAGAATTTTGCAGTCGGCTTTGCTTGTATGCGTATTCTGCAGTCGTACTGTGCATAGCTAAGCGTGTTCTGCAAATTAACGTGTTACGTTGGGGTATCCTGCAATCGTACTGTGCATAGCGAATAACTTATGCCACCTAGACGAGTCAGACGTCTGGTGTCGGCATATACTTTCCATAACCTACCTAAATTGTTCCTACAGCGTTGTTGGCAAATTGCTCGTTCCATTGGCTTTAAAATTTACAAACGCACTGTCACAGCTGCGCAACTGCCTTCACTGATTGCTGACAAACTTATAGAAGAAGAGATGGCACATCAGACTCCTCCCTCTACGGGAGCTAGGGCAAAAACTGTTCTCGCAGGAGGAAGATGATACACCTACGGAGCAAAATGGTCAGTATAGTGCAGCTGGGTTGTCTCAAGGTGAATCAGCGTCGTTGGCACTTGAGCTGGCAAAAATCAATCTTGATCAAACTAGGGAACAGAGCATTCGCAAGGGAAGAATTTGATAGGGAAAGAGAAAGGAGGCAGTTTTCGCATTCTGTAACTAATTTTAGTTTACAGAAAGCAGTACAGTTTGTTCCCCGCTTCAATGAGGCCGAACCAGAACAATTTTTCGAAAGCTTCGAAAATCAGGCTCGAGCCTTGTGGTGGCCGGAACAGCATTGGGCATCGTTGGTTCATACAGCATTATTGGGTAAGGCACAGGAATTTACGTCAGTATTAAATGACGCTGAATTTTCTGATTATAAAGTAGTGAAGAACAGTGTTGGGAGCATATACATGTATCCCAGCCAAATACAAAAAAAATTTTCAAGCTGAGCAGACGACAGCTTGGTCAATCCCTAGTGGACTTTGTGAGCAGCAAACCAAAGCTTTTACCAGCTGGTATAAAGCAAGTGGTGTCTCTACCTTTGAGGAGCTGGTACAGCTTATTCTGATTGATAACCTGCTGGAGTCTGTGGGACCAGAGGTTCGAGTCTTTCTGCAGGATCGTGACTTAACCACTGCATTGGAGGCAGCCAGGTTGGCTGATACCTTCGAAACTAACCGCTCCTTGTCAGAGCGGTCCCGTCTCTTTTCAACAGCCTGGCATGAGCAGAGATCGTCAACCTTGGAGAATGAAGTGCCAGCCGGAGGGAGAACGTCTACGTCAGCCAACTAAGTCACCTGGTGAGCCACGCTTCTCAACATATGGTCCACCTGCGGAGAGGCAAACTACTCATGGTGCATCTCGACAACAGTATCCAGAGAGACACCAGCCAGAACGACACCATTTGCAACGTCAGCAGGGAGTAAAGGGCAAGCCTGTCGTCTGCTTCCTCTGCAACAAAGTAGGTCACATCCGTCCCAACTGCCCCCATAAACCCCAACCCATTGGGAAAATCTCTAATATCCCTAGTAACATGTCCCCTAGAGAAATAGAAAAAGGTATGGCCCCTTATTATTGCAAGAGTATTTTCCCTTCATGAAAACTCAGACAACTAAAGTAGAGACCTTTAGAGATACTGGAGCATATTGCTCACTTGTAAGAGAAGGAATATTATCCCTTTCAGAGAATACTTCCTTGAATTCCTCTGTTTTATTGGAAGCATTTGGAGGAGCTATATATTCTGTTCCTTTGCATAAAATTTATGTACAGTGCAAATATTACACTGGGTACTTGACTGTAGGTGTCTCAAAAGGATTTCCCATGAAAGATGCCATGTTATTACTGGGTAATAACATTACTACTGTTAGTTCGTGTCCTGAACCTATAATGATTAATTCTTCTCCGGTGTTGGCCATAACTCGGGCAACATCCCAAGGGTTGTCTGGAGAGAATGTTGACCTATCCTTGGACGACTCCGATCTCGGAATAGCCACGTTGTTTTATGAGGCACACCGGCCGGAGCCTCGTAAATAAAGTGAACAGACCCCGATCAAGCCTTCCTATTCCCAGGTTGCAGGATTGCCAGATGTCTGTTTCCATGCCCGAGGGACTGTCCTTCCGGGAGGAACAACGAAAGGACCCTTCTTTAAAATTCGCTTTTCAGGCAGCCATGGGTAAATCCTCTTTGGGTCATCCGGTCAAGTATGAAGTTAAAAACAATTATTTGATCTGCACTGAGACTGGTAAGGAGATAGAGGGCCGGCAATTGTATGACAGGTTAGTGGTTCCAACCAAGTTTAGACCTCAAATATTAAATATAGCTCATAATACGTCATTAGGAGGTCACTTAGGAATTACAAAAACCTTGTATAGAATCACAAAAGAATTTTATTGGCCAAAATTAAAGAAAGATGTGAAGAATCATATTAGGTGTTGCCGAGAATGTCAGCAAGTAGGGAAACCTGGACATTCCATTAAACCTGCACCTCTCCAACCTATACCTGCTGATGGAGAACCTTTTGCAGATTTAATTATAGATTGACCTAGGTAGTGGACCTACACAAAGTCTGGAAATCAATATTTATTTACGATTATGGATAAAGTAACAAGATACCCTGAAGCAATTCCCATGTGTAGTATTAATACTAAAGCTATTCTCAAAGCTTTAACCAAATTCATTTCTTGTTTTGGCATTCCTAAAACTATTCAAAGTGATCAAGGTACTAACTTTACTGCCAAAGCATTTAGGGAAGTATTAACTAGGTTAGGGATAATCCACAACTTATCCACTGCCTATCATCCTCAGTCCCAAGGCGTCTTGGAAAGATTCCATCAGACATTAAAAACAATGATGAGAACTTTTTGCATACACTTTCCTACAGACTGGGATGAATCACTACCTTTGTTGCTGTTCTCAGTACGAGAGACGGTGCAAGAGTCTACAGGGTATAGTCCGTTTGAGCTGATCTTTGGGCACAATGTACGAGGTCCTCTTCGGGTGCTCAAAGAAGGATGGATGGGAGAAGACGTTAGCTCCACACTCTACAACCCGTCTTCAAGGTTGCAGGTGGCACATCAGTTAGCCAAGGCTAACCTAAAGACAGCTCAAAGCAAGATGAAACAGGTATGACGGAAGTGCACAATTCCGCTCCTTCCATCTAGGAGACAAGGTGTTGGTGCAGGAACCTATACCTGGCCACACCTTGAAAGCTAGATTTACGGGACCTATGCAGATTGTAAGTAGATTATCTGATGTAAATTATGTGGTAGCTCCCATTGATAAGACCTCAAAAACTAAAACTTACCACATTAATCAAATAAAGGCCTTTCATACACCAGATAAAGTCCCAGTAATGACTCTGTCCTCTACCTCTGAGGACGACTCTGACTCTTTGCACTCTATCTCTGAAATTAATATTAAACTTTCAAATTCTGTCCTCCTCAAGGATCCTAGCCCTTTAATGGAGGGATTATCTGAAATGCAAGCAACAAATTTAACGGAGCTTCTACAGTCATATCCTAATATTTTTTTCGGATGTGCCGAAAAAAATGTAAGTTAGGTTATCATGATGTAGATGTGGGAAACTCTAAACCATTTAAACTCTCCCCCTACAGAGCTAATCCTGAAAAGCAAAGGCTACTTCAGCAGGAAGTAGAATTTTTGTTAAAGCATGGTTTAGTGGAGGAGTCATCTAGTCCATGGGCTTCACCGTGCATCCTTGTGAAGAAGGCTGATGGAGGGTTTCGTATGTGTACAGACTACCGTAAGGTGAACGAGGTCACCATTACAGATGCTTACCCTCTTCCTCGTCTGGATGACGTAATTGACTTTGTGGGTAAGGGTACTTTTGTGTCCAAGTTAGATCTCCTTAAAGGCTACTATCAGGTACCTTTGACGGATAAGGCGAAGGAAATCTCTGCCTTCGTAATTCCAGGAGGTCATTACCAATACACAGTTACCCCCTTCGGAATGAAAAATTCCCCCTCTTCATTCCAGAAACTTATCCATCAGGCTTATTAAAGGACTTGAAGGCACGGCAGCGTACCTAGATGATATTGTTGTGGTGTCTGATACTTGGGATCAACACCTACTTAGACTTAAGGCTCTGTTTGAAACCTTTAAGAGTTCCTATTTAACAGTTAATTTATCTAAATCTTCCTTTGGCCAGGCCACTATCACTTTTCTAGGCCATGAAGTAGGTAGTGGTAAAGTTGCACCTAAACTTGCTAAAGTTTTTGCTATTAAAGATTATCCAGTTCCTCATGATAGGAAATCTCTTCAACGTTTCCTAGGCATGATAGGATTTTACAGAAGATTCTGTAAGAATTTCTCAGATATTGTAGCCCCTCTCACCTCTCTTACCAGTCACAAAGTTCCCTTTAATTGGACCTCAGACTGTAACACTGCTTTTAATAAAGCAAAAAGATTATTGTGTACTGCACCCATTCTCTTGTCTCCAGACTTCTCCAAACCTTTTTCATTACAGGTTGATGCTTGTGAGTCTGGGGTTGGGGCAGTACTATTACAAATCGGGAACAAGGAGTTGCAGCCTGTAGCATACTTTTCAGCCAAGTTCCAGCCACATCAGAGAGCTTACTCTACCATTGAAAAAGAAGCCCTCGCGCTGGTACTGGCTTTGGAGCATTTCGATGTTTATGTGGGCCAGACATCGCAGGTGGTCAGTCTACAGTGATCACAATCCTTTAGTATATCTCCAAGCCATGAAGAACCACAACACAAGGCTCATGCGCTGGACACTAAGGCTGCAGCCCTATAATATTTCCATTAAATATATTGCCGGCAAAGAAAATATGTTGGCAGACTCTTTATCTAGAGTCTAATATTTTTATTTATTTAGGTTAGGATGTTATTTGTGGTAACCCCTTTTCACGCTTTTTTTTTTTATCCCCTGGTGTGGGGTTTTTTTTTTAGTGAGGGGATGCGGGCTACCGTCCGCCTGTATCTTGGACCTATGCTAGCCTGTCTGACTGCTGTCTCGCTCTAAGTTTAGGGTTTGGCTTTTGGTCACGAGAAAAGCTGAGCTCTATCTAAGAGTTGGATGGTGGAGAGGAAAGGCGGTCCCATTATTTTGTGCCATGGCGGCACGGTTACCACTGGGAGGTGGCAGCCTAATCCTGAGCCTTCTCGGGGTGGGGGTGTGGCATGCAAAGAGTACGTAACCTTTATTCGGCGCATGTACACACCCTCATTTACAGACTATCTCCCCCAACCAGCGAACCAGGTTGCTAAGAGTTGATGGGGACCCGTCGTTCAACTAGTGACCAGGTTCTAGCCAATAAGATGGTTTTGGCAATCGCAGAGGTTATGTGGGTACAGCTCTCCTGTCTGCCCTTGTCATTCCCATTCTAGAGCTGGTTGAAGCACGGTCTGCTATCTTGTGGCTTCTATTTCTGCCTTGCTTACCGTGGAGTGCACTATACTTATCACTGTACATAGTGTACATATTGCTGTTCTAAATTGGTGAAGGATAATATAAGTAAACTTTTTCTGCTGTTTATTTTGCTCCCATTACACCCGGGATAACAGGCCATTTGGAATCCTGGGTTGTAATAAAGACCCAGCACACCATCCACTGTGGTGTTTGAGTGGTTGAAGACCCAGCACACCATCCAGATTCTACCATCACACCTACAACCTTAGGAAAAAAAATGTAATAGTATAGTATTTTTATTCGTAGAACGTGTTTAATATGTCCGCCATGATGTAGTTACCCATGATGTAGCTGCCCATGATGCAGCTGCCCATGATGCAGCTACCCATGATGTAGCTGCCCATGATGTAGCTGCCCATGATGCAGCTGCCCATGATGCAGCTACCCATGATGTAGCTACCTATGATATAGCTACCCATGATGTAGCTGCCCATGATGTAGCTGCCCATGATGTAACCACATGATGCAGCTACCCATGATGCAGCTACCCATGATGCAGCTACCCATGATGTAGCTACCCATGATGTAGGTACCCATGATGCAGCTACCCATGATGTAGGTACCCATGATGTAGGTACCCATGATGCAGCTACCCATGATGCAGCTACCCATGATGCAGCTACCCATTATGTAGCTGCCCATGATGTAGCTACCCATGATGCAGCTGCCCATGATGCAACTGTCCCATGATGTAGCTTTCCATGATGCAGCTGCCCATGATGTAGCTGCCCATGATATAGCTTCCCATGATGCAGCTCCCCATGATGTAGCTTCCCATGATGCAGCTAACCATGATGTAGCTTCTCATGATGTAGCTGCCCATGATGCAGCTGCCCATGATGCAGCTTCCCATGATGTAGCTGCCCATGATGCAGCTACCCATGACGTAGCTGCCCATGATGCAGCTCTCCATGATGCAGCTGCCCATGATGTAGCTGCCCATGATGTAGCTGCCCATGATGCAGCTACCCATGATGCAGCTGCCCATGATGTAGCTGCCCATGATGCAGCTACCCATGATGTAGCTGCCCATGATGCAGCTACCCATGATGTAGCTGCCCATGATGCAGCTGCCCATGATGTAGTTACCCATGATGTAGCTGGCCATGATGCAGCTACCCATGATGTAGTTACCCATGATGTAGCTGCCCATGATGTAGCTGCCCGTGATGTAGCTACCCGTGATGTAGGTACCCATGATGCAGCTACCCATGATGTAGCTACCCATGATGCAGCTGCCCATAATGTAGCTTCCCATGATGCAACTGTCCCATGATGTAGCTTCCCATGATGCAGCTGCCCATGATGTAGCTTCCCAAGATGTAGCTACCCATGATGCAGCTGCCCATGATGTAGCTTCCCATGATGCAGCTAACCATGATGTAGCTTCCCATGATGCAGCTAACCATGATGTAGCTGCCCATGATGCAGCTGCCCATGATGCAGCTGCCCATGATGCAGCTACCCATGATGTAGCTTCCCATGATGTAGCTGCCCATGATGTAGCTTCCCATGATGCAGCTGCCCATGATGCAGCTACCCATGATGCAGCTTCCAATGATGTAGCTTCCCATGATGTAGCTACCCATGATGTAGCTACCGATGATATAGCTACCCATGATGCAGCTGCCCATGATGTAGCTGCCTATATTGTAGCTGCACATGATGCAGCTACCCATGATGTAACTGCACATGATGTAGCTGCCCATGATGTAGCTGCCCATGATGTAACTGCACATGATGCAGCTACCCATGATGTAGCTACCCATGATGCAGCTACCCATGATGCAGCTACCCATGATGTAACTGCACATGATGTAGCTGCCCATGATGTAACTGCACATGATGCAGCTACCCATGATGTAGCTACCCATGATGCAGCTACCCATGATGTAACTGCACATGATGTAGCTGCCCATGATGTAACTGCACATGATGCAGCTACCCATGATGTAGCTACCCATGATGCAGCTACCCATGATGCAGCTACCCATGATGTAGCTGCACATGATGCAGCTACCCATGATGTAGCTACCCATGATGTAGGTACCCATGATGTAGCTACCCATGATGCAGCTACCCATGATGTAGCTGCCCATGATGTAGCTGCCCATGATGCAGCTACCCATGATGTAGCTACCCATGATGCAGCTGCCCATGATGTAGCTTTCCATGATGCAGCTGTCCCATGATGTAGCTTCCCATGATGCAGCTACCCATGATGTAGCTTCCCATGATGTAGCTACCCATGATGTAGCTTCCCATGATGCAGCTGCCCATGATGCAGCTACCCATGATGCAGCTGCCCATGATGTAGCTTCCCATGATGCAGCTGCCCATGATGAAGCTAACCATGATGTAGCTTCCCATGATGTAGCTTCCCATGATGCAGCTAACCATGATGTAGCTTCCCATGATGCAGCTGCCCATGATGCAGCTGCCCATGATGCAACTACCCATGATGTAGCTTCCCATGATGTAGCTGCCCATGATGTAGCTTCCCATGTTGCAGCTGCCCATGATGCAGCTGCCCATGATGCAGCTACAAATGATGTAGCTTCCCATGATGTAGCTGCCCATGATGTAGCTTCCCATGATGCAGCTGCTCATGATGCAGCTACCCATGATGCAGCTTCCAATGATGTAGCTTTCCATGATGTAGCTTCCCATGATGTAGCTGCCCATGATGCAGCTACCCATGATGTAGCGGCCCATGATGCAGCTACCCATGATGCAGCTGCCCATGATGCAGCTGCCCATGATGCAGCTACCCATGATGTAGCTGCCCATGATGTAGCTTCCCATGATGTAGCTTCCCATGGTGTAGCTGCCCATGATGCAGCTTCCCATGATGTAGCTGCTCATGATGCAGCTACCCATGACGTAGCTGCCCGTGATGCAGCTGACCATGATGCAGCTACCCATGATGCAGCTGCCCATGATGCAGCTACCCATGATGTAGCTGCCCATGATGTAGCTGCCCATGATGTAGCTGCCCATGATGCAGCTACCCATGATGCAGCTGCCCATGATGTAGCTGCCCATGATGTAGCTACCCATGATGCAGCTACCCATGATGTAGCTGCCCATGATGTAGCTACCCATGATGTAGCTGCCCATGATGCAGCTACCCATGATGTAGCTGCCCATGATGCAGCTGCCCATGATGTAGTTACCCATGATGTAGCTGGCCATGATGCAGCTACCCATGATGTAGTTACCCATGATGTAGCTGCCCATGATGTAGCTGCCCATGATGTAGCTGCCCGTGATATAGCTGCCCATGATGCAGCTGCCCATGATGTAGCTGCCCATGATGTAGCTGCCCATGATGCAGCTACCCATGATGTAGCTGCCCATGATGCAGCTGCCCATGATGTAGCTGCCCATGATGTAGCTGCCCATGATGTAGCTGCCCATGATGTAGCTGCCCATGATGCAGCTACCCATGATGTAGCTACCCATGATGTAGCTGTCCATGATGTAGCTGCCCATGATGCAGCTACCCATGATGTAGCTGCCCATGATGTAGCTGCCCATGATGTAGCTGCCCATGATGCAGCTACCCATGATGCAGCTGCCCATGATGTAGCTGCCCATGATGCAGCTACCCATGATGTAGCTGCCCATGATGTAGCTACCCATGATGCAGCTGCCCATGATGCAGCTACCCATGATGTAGCTGCCCATGATGCAGCTGCCCATGATGTAGTTACCCATGATGTAGCTGGCCATGATGCAGCTACCCATGATGTAGTTACCCATGGTGTAGCTGCCCATGATGTAGCTGCCCATGATGTAGCTGCCCATGATGTAGCTGCCCGTGATGTAGCTGCCCATGATGCAGCTGCCCATGATGTAGCTGCCCATGATGTAGCTGCCCATGATGTAGCTGCCCATGATGCAGCTACCCATGATGTAGCTGCCCATGATGCAGCTGCCCATGATGTAGCTGCCCATGATGCAGCTGCCCATGATGTAGCTGCCCATGATGTAGCTGCCCATGATGTAGCTGCCCATGATGTAGCTGCCCATGATGCAGCTACCCATGATGTAGCTGCCCATGATGTAGCTGCCCATGATGTAGCTGCCCATGATGTAGCTGCCCATGATGCAGCTGCCCATGATGTAGCTGCCCATGATGTAGCTGCCCATGATGCAGCTGCCGATGATGTAGCTGCCCATGATGTAGCTGCCCATGATGTAGCTGCCCATGATGTAGCTGCCCATGATGCAGCTACCCATGATGTAGCTGCCCATGATGTAGCTGCCCATGATGTAGCTGCCCATGATGCAGCTACCCATGATGTAGCTGCCCATGATGCAGCTTCCCATGATGTAGCTGCCCTTGATGCAGCTACCCATGACGTAGCTGCCCGTGATGCAGCTGACCATGATGCAGCTACCCATGATGCAGCTGCCCATGATGCAGCTACCCATGATGTAGCTGCCCATGATGTAGCTGCCCATGATGTAGCTGCCCATGATGCAGCTACCCATGATGCAGCTGCCCATGATGTAGCTGCCCATGATGTAGCTACCCATGATGCAGCTACCCATGATGTAGCTGCCCATGATGTAGCTACCCATGATGTAGCTGCCCATGATGCAGCTACCCATGATGTAGCTGCCCATGATGCAGCTGCCCATGATGTAGTTACCCATGATGTAGCTGGCCATGATGCAGCTACCCATGATGTAGTTACCCATGATGTAGCTGCCCATGATGTAGCTGCCCATGATGTAGCTGCCCGTGATGTAGCTGCCCATGATGCAGCTGCCCATGATGTAGCTGCCCAT